ACATTTCAACAAAGCAATTGAAGTTTTCTCCCCTGGCACAGTGCTGCCATCCCTTGGAAGGTGCTTTTAAAATCCAACCAAGTTCTTTGTGTATGGAATTACTTTCAGTCTTGAACTTTCTGAATGTGATGGGATCATTCAGGTCCTTTAAACTGGGCTTAGTTTGGATCTGCTCCAAAAAATAGAGCCCAAAAATACTGAAATACAGGAGAGGCTGATTGGAGGAGCAGCAGGAAGAAGTTTCTGGGTGAAGCCGTGTCCAGACATTGAATTTCTCTTTTCCTGGTGTGGAAGACAGATCCCAATACAGATCCCAATACTTGGATGATATTCCAGTGCCATACCTGTTGTTCCTGCCCATCAAGGTCCTGGCAGATCACATCCAGACCTGGCATGTCCAGCTTGTTACTGAGGCTCTTCCCAGAATTTGGGAATTTCTCTCCGAGCTGCCTGAGCTCAGCTCTGCAGGGAACTGAAGGATCCTCACTCTCAGCTCACCACTGGAGTTGGATGGAGTAGGAATCTTCTCATCTCCCAGAGCAGCATTGCCACAGGATCTGGTTGTCCATCAATTCCAACCTGATGTAATTCTGGAGGAATTTCAAGCTTCTCTCCCTGAACAGATGTCTCGGATTCTCCTTGGGAGATGGAGTCTCTCATCTGGAAGCTCCCGTTAACCCCTTCCTGCCAGACCTTTGAATTAGGGAAGTTTGCACATACAGGAGAGGAAACAAAAGCTTCAGGGGTCAGAAACTTCATCTTTTATTATGCCTGAAGCCAGAAAGTGTAAAAAACACGCTGAGAATGAAGGAACTGGGACACTTCAATTGTGGTTTCTGTGAAGGAGGAAAAATTCAGTCATTAAATTGACATTTTGCAGCTCACTGTTCTTAGAGCCATACAAAATTGTAAAGCTGTAATGTTAGTACATTTATATTTTAATCATTAAATTAATAGTATTAACTCTTAAGCTAACTTAAGTGAAGCAATTAAAATTTTTCAACTTCTTGTATATTAGAAGTTTTTTTAGCTTGAAAGGGTTTTTTTTTTTTGGTCATAGAGAAAACTTCATATAAAATCATGAAATAAATTTAGGTTTAACCAAGTTGTCTGTTGACTTCTACTGAAAGTCTCATTCTCAGATCATTTTCCTCTGTGTGCTCTGCTTCAATTCAATTTATACTTGTTTTTAACTTCAAAAATCTGGGGTTTGGTTATTCCAGTTGTTGATTTGCTGGCAAACACCTTGACACCTTTAAATCCTTGTTTTTACTGTGCTTTTCCCCAGTGACATTTGGTATATTTGTCATTAGTAATATTTAATATTTCTCTTTGGCCTTAGTGCTGTTGTGATACATATTTTTAAAAATCAGAGGAATATTTGATTATTTAGTCCCATTTACATATAAATACCTTAAAACCAAACTTTGTAAAATCTCTGGAAGCTTTCTGAAAATTCATTCAGTCCTGGGCTAAATTTTTATAGAATTTTGAGCTCTTATTTCTGAATAAATAAGGTGGATATTTTTTAAATTATCAAACAGATTGAAATAGTAGGGCATTTTTATATAAATATAGACTCAGGAGTGATCCAATGTGAATTATATTAAACTCAGTGGGAAACCATCCATTAACCTTAGCAAGAATAGAATCAGAATTCCAGAAAGTGAATTCTGCTTTAGGAGCCCTGTGCCTGGGGATTATTCAAATACCTTCCTGATACTTTTATCAATGAATTGGACAATTAGTTGTACTAATTAGCAGCATCACTTTGGAAGAACTGCTTGGAGAAAGTGGAGTGACAACAACAGAGGCGGCCTAGAGCAGGCAGGGATGGAACTGGGATGAAATTCCTTCTCCATGGAAATTAATTTTGAATTTTCTCAGCATTTCCAATTTCAGGATAATTTCAGTTGGAGCCTGAATCCAGAGCAGAGTCTGCTGGAGTCTCCTCTCTGCTCCCATGGCAGCATCTGCCCTGCAAGAGAGTTTAAAATAATCAAGATTTGCCAGTTATGGAGGTTTGTGCCAAGAATTTTTAAATAAGAAGTAACACAGTTTAGAGAAGTTTATGTTATTTTCTTTGGGGAGGATTTAATTTTAAACAATGGCATCATGTCATGTCTAAAAGAAGACATTTTATTATGTGATGATAAAGTGTCATGAGGCAAAAATATAAACTGTTGGTGTGCTTGCTGCATGAAATTTCTTCTCTCCTAATGAGTTTGGGGCTTTGGGATAAGAGATTGCTCTGAAAGTCCAGGTGTCCTTTTCTTCTCCTTCTGCTGTGGGCGTGTTTCTCCAGGTATTGGTAGAGTTGTGTACACTGTGGAGAAATGGAAAAAGTTCTGATCTTGGCAGCACAAATACATTTCTATGAAATAATCTGAGTCAGGAGATAGAAATGGAGATGTTCTGGTGGTTTGAGTTCATTTTTGCCTGTGGAGGGAGTGTTCCAGCAGTGTGGAAGTGCAGGAGGAAAGAGGGGACAGTGGGATGGGAGACAAATGTGACAAATGTTTCTCTCTCCTCTTTGGGTTTTTTTACCAAATGTCTTCGCCTTTTGGGGGATATTTCTGTTTTCTATCATAAGAGACACCTAAAGAGAAAACCTGAGAATCCCTGGCCATGGAATGGGCTTTGAGGTCCCTTCTGACCCAAACATTCTGGGGTTCTGTGATTACAAAAATCAATTATTTGTAAGAATGGAGTAGGAACAACTAAATCTTTTACTGACTCATTCTTTTGTACCTTTAGCAATGTATGTTTAGGAAAAACAGGAGAAAAGACAAATTTGCATTATACAGACCTCAAATTCTCTGTTTATCTTCTCTCATCAGTTTCTAAGTTATCTCTATATTAAATTAAAGATCAGTGAAGGAGAAAAGTTGATTACATTTCCATTGTGAGACAGAAAACAGCAATGTGTGTACACAAGGTATGCAAAGGGGCTGAGAGAAACAAATCAAGTTTTCAAAGTGCTGTGTTACAGATGAATGAAAATAATTTGTGAATTATTCATCAAATTTAATTCCGAGATGTTTTGAGAAAACCGAAATAAATTGGGGCGTGTGATTGTTGGAGAGGCCTTTATTCTCCAGACTTTAGAGGTCTAAATCTTGAGTATGGACTTCATCAAGATGTGGAGAATGGCCAAACTGCAGGCAGAGGTATCAGCTACTCAGGATTTATAGGATTGAAATATTGACTAAACTGATGTCTGATTTTTTATCTCTTGCAAATTAAAACTCCTTTTTTTTTTCTTTTTTCCCGTAACTGGAGACACAAAAAAAATAGATAATTTCCCTTCTTACATCTTCCATGCTCAAAGCAAAATTCACTCAAAGGACAGCGTTGCCAAACCTTTGAAAAATGTTATTATATCTATATATCACATATGTAAATACGTTAACACCTTAGCCTTGTTGATGTCACATACATAAAGGAAATATATCAGTATGTTATATTTATTATGATGTATCTCGTAATTTAAAGAAATGTGATAGCTTGTTGGCCTTCCAGCTGATTTCTGAATTCAGTTTTCAGAAAGACCTGCCTGTTTTTTGATATTTCTTTGAGCTTTCACGCTTTTCACGTGGTCCATGCTGTTGTTAGGCAGTTACAGTTCATTTTTGAAGTTCTGTTCATCTGGCCAACTTGTTGTCGTACAAAAGCCCAGGAGAAGGCCATATGTTCCTGCAAAGGTAGCCTTGGAAGGTGGGATAGCTGCTTCTTCTTTTTCTTCTGCCATCTGTTCTGCTTTAACTTCATTTTCTCCAGATTCCCTGTCTAGCAAATACTCCGATAATAGATGGGAATTCTAATCAGTACGGAAGCAAGAGTATTGTTTCCAACAACAGTCAGGTATTCCCATTTTTTTAGACATTTCCCTTGTTCTTTGGCATTGTAACAGTTAAAATTTAGAATTAGGAATTAATTTAGGAATCAATTTTCTTTAAACAATGAATACACCGAGATGCTCCCGTGAACACAGAAGAGATTTTCAGCGCTGCAGGCCTCAGAAATAAAATGAGCAAACATCCTGGATTTCTCCAAGTGGCTGCTGCTCTTTCCACTTGGAGTTTCTCATTCCTGTCCATGTGCCACTCCTTGCTGCTCCAGCCCAAGCATTCCTGCAGCCACAGGGATTAGGGAAGGATCTGGGTTAAGACTAATCCAGCAGAAATACACAAATCGGCTCCCTGGGCTGATCCAGGAGGGACACAGGGAGCAGAGGGATGAGTTGTGCCCTCTGACAGAGTGAGGGACTCCACCTCAGGAATTCCCTCCTCAGGAATTCCCTCAAACTCCAGGAAAATGGAGGAGTAAAGAAAAAATCTGGTGTCTCCAGGGTTTTCAGGCTTTCTGCTGAGGAGACAGCAGAGCCCTGATTCAGGCCAGGATTCTGGATTGAGTCAGAATTGGGGAAACCTGAAAATCCTGTGAGTCCTCCAGGCATAACCATGGCCATATAATCTGTCATTTCACCCACTTTTTATGCTATAGGAATACTATAGGAATAAAATTAAATTCAAGGTTGTGCTTAGACCGAGGTCATGATTTGCCATCACTTGTTCAAGTCACAGAATTCTTCTTGGTTTAGGGGCAAAATCTACAAGGCATTTGGGAAATAAAAGTCTACAAGTCTATAACCTACTTTCAATGGTTCTAAACTACTTTGGGAGTTTTTATATTAATTTATAGAAATGTCCATGTGTGTGACTGTATATAAAAAGAGATGTGTGTATAAATAAGCAAAACTGGGCGTCTTTTTGCTATTTTAGTTCTCTGAAGCTTTGTGGTGGATCCTCTCAAGAATATCTCATTTTAAAGTCCTAGCAGGGGAGGATACAGCCAGACCTGGACCCTACGTGGACTGTGGGGAATTCTCCTGGTTCTGTTTGTATGGGCAGTGAAGACAGAGATCCTTCCAAAGGGAATTTAGGGATAATTTTCCTTTCTGCAATTCTCCCTTTAGTACAACATGTATTTTATTGCAGGAAGAAGAGGCTTTAGAGCAACAAAACGGGCAAAAACCACAAAGACTTGAAGAAACAGCACTTCTCTAATTCTTCCCAAAAGTTCTGAGAACCACCAAATCCTAAAGGATTACACCCACCAGTCTTCCTGATTTCAGGTAGGTGAATTCTCTCTTTGCCTCTCTTCCTGACAGCCCAGGGAAGCTGAGGATTCTCATTCCCTGGAAGTGTCCAAGGCCAGGTTGGACAGGGCCCAGAGCAGCCTGGGACAGTGGGAGGCATCCCCATGGCAGGGGAGGGAATGGATGGGATTTAAGGTCCCTTCCCACCCAAACCTCTCTAGGGTTCTCTGATTTCTCTGAAATTAAAAATAATGCAATTAATAAATACAATTTTATGTGACTTTCTCCCTTGACAAAATAACAATTACTGTAAAGAAAATCAGACAGAAATGGATGCTCCCAAACAAAAGTTGGTGCTGTTATTTTCCAGCATGGAGCTCATGGCTCTAACTGGCTGACTGCCACCCTCTTTTTTACTCATTTGTGACAGCACACAATTAAAAAGTTCAGTTTGTTGCTCTTACAGGAATAACAGTTTTTGGTATTTTTCATGTTTGCTCATAGAAAGTATTTTTAATTTTAGATCCTCCAAATACTGTAGTTGTAAGAATATTGTTTGTATCTGGAGAGATTAGATGGGGACAGGATTTTTTTAATCTGTTAGCACAGACTTGTTATGTAAATAGGAAGCTCACAAAGGAAGGAGACAGCAAAAGGCTCTGAAGAAACAGATGTGTCTCCCCCAGAAATAAAGTCACCACTGGATTCCTACAACTTTTTTGGGAAGTTTATTGTTAGGGATGTACATGGAATTAAAATAACCAACAAATTCTGTAGACACTGTGTAAATCAATTTCCATATGCTCAGTACAGATAATTTTATCATTAATTTATTGTTGCTATTTAATTTTAATAAATTCAAAATCAGATTATTCATTTAAATGAATTTTTATGATGCTTTGCTGTCAATTTCTGGAGGCCTTGAGAGGAAGCTCCTTTCCCTGCTGCTCCTCCAGTCCTTAGCACTGGCCATGTGACCCAGATTTTTTAAGCCCTGCTATGATTTTAGGTTTTATTCTTGTGCTCTTTCATCCATCTATTGGAATTGTTTCCAGTAAATTAGAGTTTTACAGTGGTTGCTGTGATTAGCATTCTGTGCTCATGGGGAATTCTTCATAAAAATGTCTCTGATCAATACCTTTCAATGTGTTTAAACATTAATAAATAATTTTATGTGGAATTAGGATCTAAAATACATTTTTGTGCAAATTCTTTAATGGCAGGTTATGCCATCTTCCCATTTGTTTTTGGTACTGTAAAGATAAATTATAATTATATGAATAACCTGCATAAAATGGTCGTGTTTTAAAATACTTCCATTCAATAATAATTATTTATGGACTGAATATTCCTTGTTAATATTCAGTATTAAGGGCAAGGTAAACCCTATATGGAGCCTAAACATTGAAGTTTTCCAGTGCTTAAGAAAATCTAGATATAAATTCATAATTTTATAGGGGTGTCATTTTTGAAGAGATACTGGTTGGGGAAGAACTTTAAAAAGTTACTAATTTTTATTTTAAGTAGTTTTCATGTGAAAAAAAAAACAACATTCCTGAAAGGCTCTGCCAGGTTGGTAAATGCAGTTTGAGACAGCTGAGTCATTAATGCTGGGCCCTAATTTTGCACTTAGATTGGGAAGAGCAATTGAAAACTCAATAAAATTTGGGATACTGATGAAATCAGTGAAGCCAAACTGCAGGTTTTGCTTCTAAACTTCACTAAGATATTTAAATAATCATGGGAAATGCTGTATTTGGTTTCACAGCCAGTGCACTTTGTGTTTTTTTTTGTCACAGGGTTGTGTTATGCCCTGTTTTTTTGGCTTATCTGAAACAACAAATTTCATTTCCCATTTTCTGTCAGGGTTTTCTGTGACAGGAGAAGGTTTTAACAACAACCCAGACCTTCACTGTGATGCTAAATGGCTTTGAAAGAGATTCCAAAGAGGTGATTTGAAAATCACAACTAATTCTCTCCATTTTCTGAAGGATTCAAAAATCATTGATGTAGCATTTGGTTTTAATGAAGATTTATTTTGGGGAAAAAATGTGAAATCCTCAATTATTGTGAATTTGATACCCAACTGTGCCCGTGCCGAGTCCTCGAGGTCTCGCATCCGAGGGTTTAAAGGCCCCATTAACTCTTTGGGATATGCATTTACCTAATGAGCTGCAATCCATTTCGCCTCTGGAAGAATCCAATGAATTGACTCTGGCTCCTGGGCAGGCTGCTGGCTCCTCAGAGGGATTCCAGCAGGGAATCAGTGCTGCAGTGACAGAGCCTCTGGAGCGGAGCGGGAAGGACAGAATGGCCCAGGGACAGACGGGTGTTGGGGAATAACGAGCCAAGGCTGGGTTGGATGGGGCTTGGAGCAACCTGGACTAGTGGAAGGTGTCCCTGCTCATGGCAAGGGTGGAATCAGCTGATTTCAAGGTTCCTTCTATCCCAAACCATTCTGGGATTCCGTGATTCAACAGCTTCTGCTTCAACTGGGGATTCACCAATATCCTGTACCTGAGCCAAGACTCATTTATAGCTCATCATTTATACCTCATCATTTATATCTCATTTATAGCTTATCATTTATAGCTCATCAGTGGTGCTGGTGGAACCTTCTACCTCACCAGGGCCTTTTGCAGCATCACAGCTCCAAAACTCAGCTTTTTGTCTTTAGCTGGAGGATTTTTGTGTGGATCAGCACCGCTCGAAAGGCGCCTTCAGTTCCAGTCAAAGCCATTCCTTGGAAACAAATCTGACTTTGTTTATATCACCAAGTAATTGTGTAGGGGCTTAGGAAGCAATCAAGAAAAGTGGAATGAAAAGGTCTGGCTCATTGTTTTAATGGGAATCCTGTGATTGTCTCAGCAGATGTAAGTGGGGTGCAGGAGTTCCTCAGATGAGGGGTGGAGGGAGGCAAGCAGCCGGCCCCAATGGACATAGCCCATCGAGAGCACCACAGGAGACTGTCTAAAGCAAAGCTCAAAGTGCAGCAGGAATTCTAAAAAGCCTAAAAGATCCCCAAGATAACTTGAAGAAAGACCATGAGAAGCAATGTAGGTGAGTATTCTCAGATAAATCAGTGCATTTATTGAGCTGGGAAACTTCTGAATTTTTTTTTTTCGGTAGTTTTACGCTGCAGCGGTGAAGTTTTAACACAAAATATTTGAGGCAGCATTAAAAAAAAACAAACAGAAGATGAGGAATCTTCAACATTTGATGGTGCTAAAGTAGAAAAGTAAACAGTTCAGCAGTTCATGCCTTGGTGGAAGGTAGACAGTGCACCCAAACATGGAGTTTTTGATAAGAGAACAAAGAAAAAAAAACTTCCCTGACCTCAATTTAAGAGATTGGATCCAGCCAGCATGCGAAGCAGAGCATTATAAATGGGAAAAAAACCCACCATTTTGTGCTGCTGTGATTCAGATGGAGCATTAGTCATGATTGGGAGTAATATATTTTGACATGATCAAACAATAGAACTCCAGTTCTCTGTTGGGAAATCTGCAGCACCATTCCTGCCCTGGATGATGTTGGAGTAGCAAAGTGGAGCTGCCTGAGATGGAGCCAGACCTCTCCAGTGTAATATCAAATCAAATGCTCTTATTCTTATAGATTTTCCTAATCAAAATACAAGGTTACACCATGTCAACAACCAGCAGATGGGGAAAAGGAACGTCCTAGGAAGCTCAAAGAACACGCTTGGAAACGGAGCTATAAATACCAGGCTAATTCCATAGCTTTAAGATTTCTCCAAAGCTTTTTTAAATCCCTCCAGAAAAGGCTGAAGAGATCCCTAATCTGAAGTGGCCCAGTTGAAGGAACGTGTGTGTTTTTATTTTTAAATAAAGTTACATCCACAATAGTGTTGGGAATTTTAGTGAGTCACTGGAGTGGATGTACAATATCTGTTGGATCAAAATAAGGATTTAAAGGATATTTTCATTCTCACCAGAACTTTCTTCTTCAGAGGAAATGTGGAATTCTGTCTGATCCCCTCTAAAGTGATGTGTGCAGCATTCCCACAGAATCACTGATGGTCACAACTCATTTGGAATCCTTTTTATGGGAGCTGTCCCTGATTAGGGAGGGCTGACACAAGAACTCCCAAAATTCCTTGGTGGAATTTTATGTAAATCCTTGTGAGGTTAACGAGCCCCTGGCACAGGATTCCCAAAGAAGTTGTGGATTCCTCATCCCTGAAGTGTCCCAGGCCAGGATGGAGGAACCTGGGATAGTGGAAGGTGTCCCTGTCCATGGCAGAGGGTGGACTGAGATCAGCTTTAAGGTTCCTCCAACCATTTTGGGATTCTCCTTCCATTGGAATCCCTTAATTCCTTAAAAATATCCCAGATTTTCTTGGTGTGTGTTTGCTCTTGGTGAGATCAAAGGCAGGAGGTGTTTTGCCATACTGGACCTACCCTTATAATTAAAAATAATAATACTATAAAAAAATAATATTAAAAACATTAAAATATTTATTCTTCATTTATTTTAAAATACATTTTAATGTCTATTTATTAAATTTTAATACATAAATTTCATTTAAACTAATATTAACCAGAGGAATGCAAAGCAGAGCAACCAACCCTTGCCAGATTTAGAAATCAGGGCTCTTAAAGAACAGCTGAAAGGGTTGGGTTTGTTTATTGTAGGAAAAAAGGGAACTCTGTGGGATGGGCAGAAAAAAAAGAGGTAAGAGGGTTTTATCAAAGCAGTGGTGGGGGTTGCTCTGTAGATTTAAAAAAAAAACAAACTGAAAAGCAAGTTTAGTTTGCACCAAATGTAATTTGGGAGAGATGGAAAGAGGAAACAGGCAAGGGTTTTATTTTTTTTTGTTTTACCTCATCCTGACTGCAAATATGGATGGAAAACTGTGATATTTTACCTATCACTGTCAGGAAACTTTTAAAAACACACAAAGAAGGAGCTCCCAGAGGAAATTACAGAAATTTTGGTCTTCCCCACTGGCCACAGGTTCTCCTGAGATTCCTCTTCATTCACATCCTCACTTTAATTCTGTCACCTTAATTTTGGGATTAAATTTGTCTTATTTCCCTGCAAACCTTTTCCATTCCTGACAACACCTTTCAGGCCAAGTTGTGCAGTACAAATGAACCATTTTATTTTATTTTCTTGAATAAAATGCTTTGAAAAGCTTTTATTTCCAATGCAGTGAAATTTGGGTTCAGCAGCCTTTGGCGCTTGGCCGAGCCCAGGAGCTGGTGCAGAGGAAGGTGCCAAATAAATACCTGCAGCACAAATGTTAAATATGTTGTGATAAAGAGTTGCCTGAGTGCTTCTTTGCCCATATTTCCCTCAATAATTCGCTTTTTTGGAGCAGAACATCCTCAATATCTGAGTTAGACAATTCCAGAGCCATTTTTTGGGGCGCTTTCAGAGAATAAAGAGCTGTTGGAGTTGTAAGTTAGGATATCTATTGTCCTTCAGTTGGGATGAAGCAGGACATTTTCCAGGCTCTTATCTTTTTTGGAGCTTTGTTCCTCAACTCTTGGATGTACTGCATTCTTAAAGTGCCACATGGTTTTAATTTCTGGGTGCCTGTGGGCCTTAATCTCATTTTTCTTTTCCCTGCTTTGATGAGCTGGTGGAATTCTCTTCTGCTTGTCAAGCCTGACTGTGATTCACCCTTTTGTTTAAGATCCTTCTGAAGAGAATCAAACTTTTTCTGTCTGCTTTGGGGGTATTTCTCACACAGGAAAATCAGGTTTTTCAGAGCAAAGCCAGGGAGACCTGGCAGGGCAGAGCTGAGCATCACCACCAGGTGCCACCTTGCTGTGCATTAAAAATAATTCAATAAATTTATATTAAAATATATTAAATTATATATTAATGATATATGAATAATATAAAATAATAAATATATAAGAAAATATAAAATCTATCAAAAATATATTAATCGTAGTAATTAAAATATGTTAAATTATATTAAAATAATTTAATAATAATTTTAATAATTTAATAATAAATTTAATACTAAATTTTTTAAGTGGAAAATCCCCTCCAAAGAATGTTTCACCAGCCCAGGAATGTTTTATCCTAAAATCAACTGCTTCATTTTCCAGGAGCCAGGCTCCACTCCTCACACTTCATTGGCCAAGAATATTTATCTTTATTAAGGTGATGGTGTGAACACATCATTGTTACGTAAGAATCCATCCCAATAATACCCAGACACCAACTTTGAGGCACTTTGCTCCTTTTAGTGGGCTAAAAATACCTTGGCTTGCTGAAAAGTAAATCTAAGTGAAGGGGTTGGGGCAGCCAGACACTCCTGAAGCACAAAATTTTATTTAAAAGTAGTGGGGGGGTGTGTACAGGCAAGAATTTTGATCATCTGTGTTGCCAGAATTCAGATTCAATGGAGTAAGGTTGATTTTGTAAAAAGAAATCACACATTTCTTCAATATTAGATTCTTTTTTTCCATGCTGTGATGTTTGATAGAAATAAAATGTATACAGAATAATAAATGGAAATAGTTATTTCATCATTTATCCCAAGAATCCTTTCTAAGTGTTTATAAATATGAAGAAATAATCAAGAGTCATTTAATATTGGAATCTTAACGTCCTAAGTGGAGTGTGTTGCCCACAATTGCTTATTTTCTGTTTTTTAACTGATTATTTTCCAGCTTGGAGTGAACAAGATGAACAGACCCAACTTCAATCTAATGCTTAATGAGGAAAAAGGTCAGGATTTTTGCATTTTCAATTCAATCCCCTACCCTACTCTTAATTAATACATTAAAAATTACTTTATATGGGCCTTAAATAACAAAACAAATTAAATTACATAACAAAACAAATGATAAGGTGAGCAAGAATATTTTTAAATCTAATGGTGAGTTCAGGAAAGAGCTGACTCAGGGCAGTGTGAGTAGAAAAAGGGGCTGGAGAAGGAAAGGTCATGTATACAAATCTTCATCAAGATTGATTTAAAAATGATTAAACTCATAACTAATAAATCTCTGCTATAGCAAGAAGGAAAAATTTGGCATTTAAAAGGATTAAAAGCACTTTTTTTTTTCCTAAATATCCTTGAACTTTTGCATCCTTATTTTTTAGAAAACAGAGAAAACGCTCTCAAATAAAATAGTAGGTCCAAATTCTCCAAATACTTCTACATTCAATTAGTAAGTAATTATCTGCTAATGGAGAGATTAATCAGATTTTCAGGGTCCAGAGGCAGTCCAGACTCTCCAATATTATTCCATTTATGCCAGAATAAGGCAGGAGGGTTTGCACTGAGGTGTCTGAAGAGCTGATTTTTATTGTTCCCATATATTTTTTAATACCTTAAGTGTATTTTCATCAGGCAAATTGCTGAGCAGAGCTACGTAATTCAATAAACAGCTGAAAAAGGGGCACTTGGAGAAAAAATTCCAAGGGGCTAAAAATAGTACAGTCACATGATTACTACTTTGGCACAAAAGCATAATTTATGGGTTTAATTTGCAATCTTGCTACAGTTCTGACATTCTCCTGCACAGGAACTCAGGCTGAATAATTCAAATTATTGAAATGTTGCTCCATCCTCAACTTCAGGTGTCTGATCCAGAGGAGGTTGATATTCTTGTTTGTAGAGACCTCTGCCTTGAAAACATGAGAGGATGGGTTTCATTTTTTGCCATTTCTTGCTTCATTTTTGCTATTTCTTGCTTAATTTAATTTTTCAAAATGAATGGAGATCTGGGGCTATTCAAAAATTGTTATTCCAGTGCTCAGAGCCTTTCTCCAGATTTCCAGGAATCTTGATTTTTTTTTATTTTTTTTTCCTGTTTTTTTATTGTTTGGCTGAAATCTGATTGAATTTTCATGGTCAGTTTTTGAAAGAGTTCCATTCAAATTTTTTTTTTTTTTTCCTTTTAAATAAATCTTTATTTTCCCAAAATAAAGATTTATTTCCATTTCCCTGGTAACCTGTAAGTCAATATTATACAGTAAAATTGAACATTACAGTTATTTCCTCCTCAATTTCTGTATCTGTTTATTAGATATTTTCAGAACATTCTCAATCAGAGATTCCTGAAATTCGTATAATCCTCATTATAAAAGCATTACAGAACTATGCTGAATAATATCAGCTTTTTAGAAGCCTGAAACGTGAGAATTGAAAGAAAATTCCTCATTCCTTTATCCAAATTCCCCTAAAATTAAGTGGATATGAAGTTTCTCCACTTCTCATTAACATATTTCTCAGTAATATTCCATTTAATAATATTCCCTAGGAAAGGTTTGGATAACAGTGATATCATTCTTAGCTGATTTCTGGTGTACACCAAATATTAACTTTAATTTTGACAAAATCTTAGTGCTGCCATCAAGCTGACACAAAGTAGGTCTGTGTCACATGCACATTTCTGACCTGCTTCCCTTGGAAAGAAAAAAAATCCATGCAGTGGAAATCCTGGAAGAGCATCCTGGGTGGATATAATAAATATATTATTAAATTTTAAATAAATATTAATAAATCCATAGTCAACAGCCAGGGATGAGCGTTAAAAACAAAATAATTTTCTTTCTTTCCTTTTTTTAATTTTTTTGGGCTGTTTTTTGTGCTAAGCCTTTCAGAGATCTTGGGAGGAAGGACTTTATCCATTCTTTGTTGGAAGTGACAGCCTAAATTGCTCCAGCTTTGGGAATTCCATGGAAAAATGGGTTCAAAGTCATCCTGGGAGAAGATTTTAGGGATTGGTGCTATCCCTAAGGACTGCTAAAAGAATCTTGTTCCTTTCCCAGCTCAGCCCAGTTGTCCATTGCTTTGGATGGCTTCGTTGGCACAATTAAATCTCCAAAATTGAGGATACTCTGGTTTTTCCCTGGTGGGAAGGATAACAGATTTCTGTCTGATTACTCAACAGCACCCTGATCCAAAATGCTCCAAGGAAATGGATTTATGAGACCTGCTCCTAATAATCAGCTGGATTCCATGGACATAAATCAGTTCTTCTCCATGAAAATCATTTTTGTGTTGTTTCATTAGTGTAGGTTCCTGAGTAGCTTTGGGCTCCTGGTCTTGGAGGCTTGGGAAAATAAATGTCCATCCACATGCTGGGAGCAGGGAAATGTCCAGGGGGCTCCTGGGTGAGGAGAACAGGGACAGGGGCCTGGAATCCTCACGGATTCCTGATATTTTTGGGTGGATTCATCCAAATGGCTGTCAGGGAATCATCCAGGATGGAAAATGCATCCAAAACTGAGTCCAACCTCTGGCCAATCCCCACCTTGTCACCAGCCCAGGGCACCGAGTCTGCATCCAGGTGTTCCTCGGACACCTCCAGGGAATTATTTTATGGAGTGGTTAAATTCCAATCCCCAAAAAATTCCACAGCATCAGTGGTATAAAATAAGAGAATATAAACCTTGTTGTAGAAATAAAACCACTTTAAAAGTTAGAAATAATATCAGAGCTGGTTGGAATGGTGTGTAGTGAGTTGGCGCTGGGGCAATTTCAAATGCTCATTTTAATTCATTCAGCGCAGAGCAATTTTCTGATTGTGGCAAAATATTCTGAATACTCTGTATTTACAGGTGAGATCTGTTTTAAGGCCAGAGTATATCAAAGTATATCCTGTTTATCATGAGTAAATCATGAGTAAATCGTGTGTAGAGCTGTGCCCTGTCCTGGACACCACCCTAAGGAAAAAAATCCTAAAGGATTCAAGGTTTTCTTCCTACTTCAGGCACTTTTGTTTGTTGAATCACTGGCCTAAAAATAGGCCCTCATAAAGTATTCACCACTGATCTAATTAGTCAGGAGAATGCTGCTTTTCAAACTGGGAAAGCATTCCCAAAAAATGATGCAACATTTGTGTCTAATTAGATGATACAGGAGAATCCTGGCTAATTGCTTTGATAGACTTAAACAGATTAATAATGTGCAAATGGTAACTGAATCAAAACTCTTTTTCACTGAGTGCTTTGAAAGTGATGCTTTTTAAGAAGCTAAAATTTCTTATTAGTTCTGAAACCCCAGGACTGTGATTTGAGAGCATTTCTCATTTTGGAGGTTTTTCAGTGCTAGAAAGGAAAGCCTTGAAAACGAGATTGTAATTTGTGTCTCTAAGAAGTGTTTGGTGTGGTGTTTTTTTTTTTCTAAATGTCTGCAAAGCTTTATATCCAAAATTTGGCCATTCCATAAATAAGAACTGGGATTTGTGCCTCAGAGAGCCAGGCAGGGATTGTGGAGCCCTTTTGTGATCCATGGAATTGTTGGGCATTTCAAAGTTCATGTAAGAACAAAGTAATGGAACATCAAAACTATTTGGAGGACGAGGGAGAGATTTAGATTATATTTGAATAGGAAAAAAATTATTGCTCTGAGAGTTGGAGCAACCTGAGATAGTGGAAGGTATCCCTGGGGGTAGAACAAAATGGGCTTTAAGGTCTTTCCAACCCAAACCATTCCATGACTTGCAGTAAAAATTTGTAAAATGTAAAAATTTGTCTTAATTGGCTCAATGTCCACTTACTAATAAAATAAATATTATTCATATCATATGTAACAGATTGGAATCCAGACAATTAATATCTCATTTAAATTTCTTTTCACATCCTATAGAGTTTTCTATTTTTCCCACTTTCCCACAGTCAAAAATTATTCAAGTAAATATTAAAAGCTGAGTGTGCAAAGAGGCTGCCTGAAATCCAGCATTTGAAAAAAAAGGGGAGAGAGTCCCATTAAAAATTGAAACCACACTTCCAGCAGATGAAAATTAAGGAGAACTTTTCCGTGTGGGGAAGGGGTCGAGGGGGCTAAAGGGGGGAGGGAATTCTGTGTAGTTTTGCATAGTTCTCCAGTGAAATATTTTGAAGGATATCGTAATGAAACTGGACTGCAAAACAAATCTAAACATCATGTGCTGGCACAGGGCAAAAAGCAGTCGCTGGTTTGGATGTGGGAAGTTGTGTTGCTCGTGGTGAGATAACAGGACTTGTGTGGAGATTACTGAGGGCAGGGATTTATTCCATGGCTGATGGAAATCAGACCTTTGGATTCATTCCAGTGTCCAGAACGCTTTGGATTTGGTCCAAAATCCAACTTTTTTTGCATCCCAGTCCAAAATGCTTCAGAGAGTGCTTGGATGGGGAAGGGGCAAATCGTGCATTGAGGGCAGGGGGGGCTGTGCAGTCGTGGAATCCCGGGATCCCTGAGGTTGGAAAAGCCCACAGAGCCCCAGCTGTGCCCGATCCCACCGTGTCCCCAGCCAGAGCCCTGAGTGCCACCCCCAGGAATTCCCTGGACACCTCCAGGGGCACTGCAAACCTCCCTGGGCACTTCCAAGGCCTGAGCGCCCTTTCCATGGGGAAATTCCTGCTGCTGTCCCCCCTGAGCTGCCCTGGCCCAGCCTGAGGCCGTTCCCTCTCCTCCTGTTGTTGTAAATCTCCAGTAGAGCTTTGAGTTGTGTGCTGTTATTAAATTAATTAAATCAAATAACACCCAAGGAACCTTCCATGTGTGGCTTACGATGGAATTTCAGCATGGAAATGTGGATGGGGGCACCCCTTACCTGGGCAGTTTGTGCCTGTAGCAACATGCAGAGGTTACTGAGGGCTTTACTTTGTGGGAATCCACATGGAACTGTGCTGGATTTTTGGGAAAACCATCTCACTTCCATGAGCATTTCCTATAAAACACAGATTATGTGTTTTACATATAATTTATTTTTGTATAGTATGGGAAACTCCCAATAGCCTTAACCCTATTTCCTGGATCTCACCATGCCCAGGCACCTCAGGGTGTCCTCCCAGCACTGGAAATTGCACAAAAAGGTTAAATTTAGGAGTAATTAACCTTAAATAAAGGCTAAAGGGAGCTGGGAGTATCTCTGGCCACTGCTCCTGTTTTAGGGGAGTGTGAGGGTTTGAAGTAGTTTTGTACCTGGAGGAGAATGGAATTTAGAACCATGGAATTGCAGCATGGTTTGGGATGGAAGGGACCTTAAAGATCCTCAAATCCTCATCTTCCACTGTCCCAGGTTGCTCCAAGCCCTGTCCAACCTGGCCTTGGGCACTTCCAGGGATCCAGGGGCAGCCCCAGCTCCTGTGGGCAGCTGTGCCAGGGCTTCCCCACCCTCACAGGGAAGGATTCCTCCCCAGTATCCCACCTAACCCTGCTCTTTTTCCTAAAAATATTTAAATACTTTCCACAGATTAATCAGTTCAGTGTTTTGGGTTTTTTTTAGCTTTTTTCAGTCCTCAGGTGCAGTCCAGACAAAGTTTACCTGATTCAGTGGTGAGAATCCTGTGGTGGAGGTGAAGTTGGAGCTGCAGAACCTGTAGAAATAAAAAGTTACTTTGAGGTGTCTCTTGCAAAAATAAGCAATTGCTGGATATTATTTGCTCATAATGACCCTAAATGTCAACATGAGCCACAGCAAAGCTGGGCTGAGACATGAGCAGCTTCCCTGCACTGGGTGCTCCCAGTATTTGATAAATTTTCTGATTTTATTGCATTACAGAAGGTTAATTCTCAATTAATTCAGAATAACAGGGAAATTTCTTTACCTGTTTTAGCCTTCCATGAGACCAGCAGTAAAAACGTCACTGCAGCTTTCAGCAGTAAGGTAAATTCTGGCCTGCTTTTGATGAAACCTCATCTGCTCCCTCCTTAATCAGGATAAAACCACTCAAACCCCCAAATTTCTGAAGTGAAAACCTGAGCGAGCCCTGAACTGTTGCCAAGAGCTCTCCAAATCCTATTTCTGTGTCCCAGCCTGAGAGATTAAAGGGTGGATTGTTCTGATAGGAGACATGACCAGGTGTCCATGGGACGTCCTCTGTGACCTTTGCAGGGCAGGAGCTCACCAGGCCCTTTGGAATTCCATCCCTTTGGAATTCTTGGGAAAGTGGAACCAGATCCCTGCAGAACAGTGCCAGCCCATTCCAGAAACCTTCATCCTGCAGAAAATCTGAAATCACACAGTCATTAAGGTTGGGAAAAGCCTCCAAGATGACGGATTCCAATTCCCTGTTTAGATTCCAGCCCCTCAGTGCAGGGGGTTTGTCCAACCAGCTCCTTTTATCCACAGCCTTCTTGGAAATACCCTGGTGAGGGTTTTTATTTTTTCTTTTTGGAGCATTTGGAACTTTACATTTCTAAGCAGCACTTCTAAAGGGAATGTTCTGCATGAGGGTACTTAAGGGAACATTTTCCAGGACTATATTTATGCCTCTGTAGTCTTCCTTTAGTGGTCTTGAAGGAAGGAGCTGTTATTACTGTTAAATATAGATGTAATGTGGTGTTATTGCAGAAATGTCTATATGTTCCATTTCTGGCTTTAAAAAAAACACCCTTTTCTTATGAAAATCAGTCAGGTCCATAACATTTATTATGTTCTAATATGTTGGCATAACGTTAGTGTTGGGAATGAGGCAGGATTGACACCTGATTCCAAATAAAATCTCCCAGTGATGTTACTACAGCAGTCACCTGTGCCATCCTATATTTGAATTTAGGATTGTTGGTTTCTTTTCTGGTGTATTTACTATTTAAATCCCATATTCCACGTTTGTCTCACCTTAATAAAACGTCCACTCTCAAGTGTTAAGTCTCACCTGGTCACCTTGAAAAAATTATTTTGGGGGGAATGACACAGTTTCTGTCATGAGAGAAAATCTCTGAGGGGGTTTTATTCCCCAGGATATTCAGATTGTTTCAAAGGTATTCAGAGATCAGTCACTGCTGCTGGCTTTTCCCTTTTTATTACCCAATTTTTTGGTGAGATGATTATTTTAATTCAATCGAAATGCAGGAGGTTTGCATTTTTATGGACATTATCAAAGCCTAGAAGCAGCTTCCTTCACATGAAATTCATTCCGTTTTCTAAACAATTTTTAAAGGGCATTAATTTAGTCATCTGCTAGTAGTTCTGAACAGAAGCATATGTGAAAATATTCTGTGAAAAGATACATCCCTTAATTCACCCAAACTCCACATCAACTATTTAACAGCAGTTGCACTCTTGTAGCTTTTAAGATGTAGCTCAATTGCATCCACATATATAAATAGAAAATGCTGGCAGGATGCTCTTTGCTCTGAGCCTTATTTTGATGGTTCCATTGACATTTAAAATTTTGATTTGAAGCTCTGGGAATGGCTGCAGCTGTAAACATCTCCCTGAGTTACTGCACTGGGCTGCAGGGCTGGAGAAGGATGGCTCACGTGTTTCCCACATCTGTATCTTTCAGGCTGTTTGATTGGAGCCAAGGACTCAGCAAAGGAACTCAAGAAGACAACTTGGATCATGACCAGAAGATAAAAAGAAAACAAAAATAATGTGGCATATAAAGGGTGTAATACCTGGAGGTATTGGATCTGACTCATATTTATAAAAATGAGACGAGCTTTCACGAAACACAAGTTATCTTAGACAGTCATCAAGCTTGGAGCCATCATGCTGTTGAACTAGAAATTCTCCTTTTCCCCATTCTCCTTTCTGACAGGTAACAAAGGATTGGTGAATTATGATTTTCCCAAGTTGGAAGCACTAATTTTTATCTATATAGTTCATCCTTATGAATATATAAGGAGTTAAACATTGCATATTTAATGTGGATTATAATGGGAAAGTGACTCATTAACCAAAATGGCCACTTTTAAGGACTTGGTTTCAAACTGAGCTGGAGCCTCCCGATGCACTTTGTAGGATTTGGGGAAAGCTGTGCTGCAGGGCCTGCTTTGGGAGGCCAGGATGACATGTAGTAAAAGGATATCACCTTACTGTTGATATCTTTGAAGACTCATAACCAGAAACAGGAAAATGAATGGTGGGAAGGAGTGTGACGGAGGGGACACGGATGGAGGGCCACCAGCAGTGCAAGTTCCCGTTGGTTGGCAGCGGAGGGTGGACCAAAGTGGAGTTCTCTACATCAGGTAAGGTCACCTCAGGGGCTGGGCTGGTGTTTGGTGGAGTTTGGCCACAATGAGCAGGAGATTCCTGGCTCGGATCCTTTCTTCCGCTCAAAAACTCCAAGGAATTGTTCCTCAAGTGCAAGATCGTCTTGGAAGCTGAAGGAGGGTAGATTTAGGTGGGATATTGGAAAGGAATTCCTGGCTGGGAGGGTGGGGTGGAGCTGGGATGGAATTCCCAAAGAAGCTGTGGCTGCTCCTGGATCCCTGGAAGTGTCCAAGGCCAGGCTGGACATTGGGGCTTGGAGCAGCCTGGGATGCTGGGAGGTGTTCCTGGGCAGGGATTGGAACTGGATGAGCTTTAGATCCCTTCCAAGCCAAACCATTCTATGATTTTGTGATTCTTTTCAAAGTAAATTTAAGCCATGTGACTACTCAGTAGCTCCAAACCCATTTTTTTATGCCTGTGAAGGTTCTGTGTTCACTATCACTGATGTTCTCCAACTTTTATGGATCCCTCACATTACCCATGTGGGGGAAAAACCCAAGAACATAAACCTAAATCCAAAGTTTTAGGTACTTCATTTGTTTATTTATTTATTTTTCTTAGCTTATTGGGTTTTTTCTTTTGCTTCACCCTGGAATGGTCACAAAGAAATGCATTGAAATTGCTATGAAATAAATGTGTTCAGACAAAGAGAGCCTAAATTAAATGTTATTGGAAAAAAGATCAAAGTCAGCTTTATAAAATGTGGGGACATTGGGTTTGCATCACACAAACCTATGTGATTATCAGGCAGTTATTTGCTTAAATTTCTTCCACTGTTCTGTGATTAAAATAAGCACTTCTCACAACATTTTGTGTATTACCAGTACAAAAGTCTTTAATGAGCCAGAGCACACTCCAATTTTACACTTAAACTACCAGAAAGGATCAGATGCATTCCAGGATTTTTCTTGTTTTCGTTTTCCACGAGCAGAATCAAACCCAGCCCATGGCAAAGAGAAACCACCCTGCCCTTGTATTTCTCATTACAGCTGTAATTCACTTACAGATCAATGGGAAAGGAAAAGTTGTGGATTAGGGTTTTTTCCCCCCAATAATCTCCATATCCAGACATCAGGAAAATAATGCTTTGATATTTTTGTGTACCTGATGATCTCACCAGCTTTTGAACTTCATTTCCCCCAGCCCTAACAAGTTTTACACAGCAGCTTTGGGGAAGCTCATGCTCTTCCTGCCCTCTTCCCAAGTTTTCCAATGTATTTTTTTATTCTTTGGTGAATTTTTTGGTCACCTTCTCTGAGATGTTCTGATGAAGCAAAGTATTTTACACTTCTGTTTGGTGCAAGCCACATGTTGGTGGGAAAGGGTGGAAGCCCCATAATCCAATCTCCTGCCTGACATGTAGCATCCACAGGGCTCTGAGGGCAGCTGAATCCTCCAGGATTGAGTTTCCACAACCTCCTCACTGCCCTGCCAGCATGCACAGCATTCATGGAGGCAAGGAAAGGTCACACAGTATTGACTCCACAGCTATCCCAGGGAAAATTAGTGGATATATTAAGATATCTGACATGATTTAAGTGGAATAGATGATCCCAGCTGAATAAAGACTCTCTGTTTGTGCCTCCTTGGAAAGCATGGACGCTTTCCTGTCAGCTGTCAGCAGTTGCTTTGGATTAAATCAAGATTAAATCCATTCATTAACTGCTTTTCATTACCTGGTAGAGGCACTGAGTTGACTCTCAGGGCTTTTCTTAGCAAAACAGGGCTTCTAAGTAGGGCCTAAATCATCCCTGGAAGTGTCCAGGGCCAGGCTGGACGGGGCTGGGAGCAGCCTGGGATAGTGGCAGGGCTGGAAACAGCTGGATTTAAGGTCCTTCCCAACCCAAACCAGTCTGGAATTCCATATTTTTGTGGCAGTTTCTTACAGAGGAAGCTGTGGATCATCCTTTGTGTTACAGAAGCGTCAATAACTTTGTGCACACAAAAAAAGACTTTGCAGTTACAGCTCTGCCCAGAATCACTCTGGAACAGGGGAAAAAAGGCCCTTTTTAAAATCTGGTTGGGTTTTGTGGAGAAATAACCAACTGCAGTTGGAATACTGGATCCCACATCCCACAGATTGAGTGGATTGACCTTCCTTTCCACTCACTGATTGTCAGCACGCTCCTTTTTATTCCTGGAGCCTGCAGTGGTTATGTGTGCCCAGGCAAATGGAGCACCAAGGTTATTTAGAATCACTTTTTTTCTAAAAATATCCCAGGAAAAGTAGCCTTTTTTAGCCAATGCAAATAAAACAGCATCCTCACTCCAGAGCATATTCCCAGAAATGCCTTTTAACGGGAGATTTAAGGATCACAGAAAGTGTCTGCAGAGATTTTGGGTGTAGACAGGATGGTCCAGAGCAAATGTCACTCTGGGGTTCTCCCTTGGGAAGCTGTTACATCCAGAGTGGAGTTTGCCTGGGGCTGAGCATGATCAGGACAGGTGGGAACATCCAAAGGGATCAGCCAGGATCCTGCTTTAATTAAAATAAATAAAGAGCAGTTTTCCCCCTGCTCCCCAAGGATTTCAGACAGGAAAGGTTTGACTCCTGACCAGTCACCAGACCTGTACCTTTATTTTTAGATTGCTCTTTCATCTTCCTCACCCTCCAAACTGTCACTGCTACACAGATTCAACCTGAGCTCTTCTCCCAAAAATAACTATTTCAGGGCATGCCTGGCAAAGAAATTACTTACTTAAACTGTCAGCAGAACTTTAAATGTCACTTGCAGGTGTTGCTTTAGATGTGACTCGCTTCTCGTGCAGGATGAGGTGTTTATGTGTTGGATTCTAAGTACCAAAGTTCATCATAGCTTGAAATTTTGAGTCAGGAGTGTTTTTGTGATCCAAACTATTCCACTTGAGCTGTTTTTGTTTGAATTAGGGCTATTTACAGCTGCCATTAATAACCAGTGTCTTATTCCAGATAAACACTTCAGCTGGCCCAGCAATAAAGAGCAATCTGCAAGTTACAGGCTGGGGACACGAGAACTTTTTTTTTTCCATCTTATGAATTAGTGATTTTGCCGTAACAGAGTTCCCAGTGCCCTATTTTGGGATGTGGAGATAATGGTTTTCTGGTGGGAGTTGGAGAAATCCAAGTGCAGTTTATCAGGAGCTCGCTGGCCTGGCTCCTTGGTGTAATATTTCTCATTTTCAGTGAGAAGGTCGAAATTTTAGCTGAATGAAACCAAACATTGTGCAACAAAGAGACCCAGCTGCAACAGTTTTGTTTCCTTTCCAAAAATATGTTTGGGGTTTTTTTTTCTAAGTATTATCTCAATTCTTGAGTAAAAGCAAGAAGTATTGTGAGAGAAAAAACACGAAATGTGATTTTACCCACTGTCCTTGTGAGCAGACACAAGTCCTGACCTATCCAAGAGCTCGTATTCATCATTTCTGTTCCTTTGCAGTCCCAGTGGGTCTTTATTATCCTGCTTGGAGCAGGTGAAGACTTACTTGCTGACTGATGGAACGTGCAAGTGTGGCCTAGAATGTCCTCTTGTTCTTCCCAAGGTAAAGCACAGCATCGTTTTGGATCTGGGTTCAAGAATATTTATGAGCTCCCCATGCTGGTGACTCAAACTCTGTTCATATCATCTCTAAAATAAGTGCTGTCCACCCAAAGTTAGCCCTTAAAATACAAAATTCAGCTCCCCTCTGCCTTAGCCCCTCTTGGAGAGGATCTGATTCAGTTATTATAAATATATTCATTTTTTTATTTATTGTTTCCAAACATCATGTCAAGGAATCTCTTGGGCAGTATAGGAGCAGTCAGCAACAGAGGAGAATTCCTCTATACTCCATATAAAATTCCTGATTTATGTGAATTTGGTGACTTTGCTGCCTGAAGTCATTATTTTAAATGCTGGAATTTTCACTGCCAGGTCTTTAATTTTGATCCTGGAGCTGCTGTGAAGCAGAGAACTGCTGAAGATGTTAAAGCGGACGAAGATGTCACCAAACTATGCATTCACAAAAGGAAAATTATTGCTGTGGCTACACTTCATAAAAGCATGGAAGCACCACATCCTTCACTGGTTCTAACTAGTCCTGGTGGTGGAACAAGTGAGTAAAATGAAATCATGCAGAATCATGTAATAATCTGATTTTTCTACGCATAATTGCTGTGCAAAACCACCCCGAAAGTCTGAGTATGAGTGCAAAAATAAGCAGATTGAAGGAATAAATAAAGGGAGTAATCAGAGATGGAGGTAGATAGAAAATGAGTCTAAAAGCAGGTCAGCCCAGCCTAAGAGCATGATTTTCTTGGAAAAGATATCAGATTGTTCTAGACAAAGAAAATACATTAGCTCTCATCTTTTGGAACTGTAGTAATATGTCTGATATTCTGTCACATGGGAAATTAGAGGAGCAGAATAAAGTGATTATGAAGGGATTAGGATGTGGCTAAGGACTTGGCTAAATGGGAAATTGTATTGTAAAGGAGAATAGACAGCAAGAGGAGATCTCCACTGTCATTTCTCAAGGATTATTTCTGGCCACCAACCTGGATTAGCATTTTAATTATCCCCATCAATAAAAAAAAAAAATGAGGAAATTTGTTGGTGGCTGAAGTTGGCAAGTATTCTCCAAACAAAAGATCAAAACATTGTAAAACAGGGGGGCTCCCTGACACCTGGAGTGAAAGCAAAGTTAGCACTGAAACAGCTCCAAACCCAGAAATTCATCCAAAATCAGGGACTTTGTAAGGATTCAGAATTTTCTGAAGAGAATTTCAGATCCCAGTGTGCATGACAAAGGAGGGAAGGGGGCTGAGATTTTATTTCTGTACTCTGGTGTTGCAGCTCCTGGGAAAAGGCCTGAGAGCTCTCTGCACCCCTCATTGCTGTGAGAACGCCTGGCCAACAGCTCTTCCCACTTCAGAGTGGAAAAAATTATAAGAAAACCAAGAAATAATAAATTTTAGATGAGTGCCAGTGCTAAGATACCCCTGCTGTTCATTATACCGATGTGCCCCTGCATTTTCACATTGAAATTTAGGATTTAAAACCTTTCTTGAAATTTTTTTTCAGTGTAATTTTTTTTTTAACTAACAATTTCCCAAGTTTCTGTGCATTTCCCTGCTCAATTTTTTCAGTGAGTGGTACTTAAATTACATTCCTGTTTTCAAAATATGAGCAAACTGAAGGAGATAATTTATATATTTATGTGTTCTTACTTTCTCTGTCGGTCAGAATTTTGTGCACAAGCAAAGAAGAAAATTCCCCAATAAATCCCCTTGAAAGCAAAATTTTTGCACATTTATATGTGACCATTTGCTTATTTCCAGCACTCAAGGTGAGGCCTCTCATAATTATTTTATTTTGCAGTTCAGCCTTCAGTTTTATCACCTTAATGAGACTTTTGTTGTATTTTGGGGCAGGGGAAATGTTTGTTTCTCTCACGTTGGAGTAAACAGGATGAGGGCAGGATTGTCAGTGCCATCTGACCATCCTTTTCATGAAGGAGTAGAGGAATTTGAAGGCACCTCTGAGTTCATTTGAACACAGAATTTTTAGCTCCCAATTCCAGTTGAATTTTGCACATCCAGAGGCTGCATGCCAAGCTCTCCAAGCTGAATTGCAAATTCCCAGAGCAGCAAAACTGGCAGAAAGTCCCCCAGACTTGGAGCTGTTTGTGCTTCTAGTCTGGAAGTAAAACATTGGAAAAAAAACCTTTCTAAATGAAGATGGAAAGTGGCCTTGTGTTTGTTGGAAGGTGTAGCCTCAAAAGCGGGATTTACAGGGAATTTTTCCATCATGTGCAAATATCCCCAAGGCTTTTATCCTGACAACAAACAGAAAGCATTCAGGATCCCTCAGCAGGGATAACATTTGGGACAGGACCTTTTCTGTGGGATTTGAGTCTCAATCCTGGACGGGCTGTGTTCCTCCTGTCCTCAATAGATGGTGCCAGAGGCTCCTTTTCCCTGCCACAGCCATCCCGCTCCTCCTGCTGGGGTGGGAGGATGCTGGAGATGCAGGAGGCTGGAGGGGGTGGCTGGAAAAGGCAAAAGGGAAGGGAAAAAGGTTTAAAATTGTCCATATTCCTATGGGATATGGAATTACAACTGTGTATCTGGGGACAGGCACCGTTCCAGCAGCTTTTCAGTGATTGAGGGTTTATTTCTGCTGAAGCAAAAGTTTAGCCAAAGGCTCCCTGAGCTTTTTGGGAATATTTTCACCCTCAGTAGCTTTGCCCTGAAACGTGGGACTCTGGATTTCCAGTAACTGCCGTGTGTTTCCCACCCCAGGTGCGACGCCAGTAGTTCCCACTCGAGCAGCAACCCCAAGGTCGATGAGGAATAAATCTCATGAAGGAATTACAAATTCTGTGATGCCGGAATGTAAGACTCCTTTCAAGTTGATGATGGGGGCATCTAATGCCATGGGTAGGCTTTATGTGCAAGAAATGGCTGGAAGCCAGCAAGCAGAGCTCCATCCTGCCTATCCCAGGCAGAGATTGGGGAGCAATGAACTGGGGCAGAAGTCTCCGTACCGCGGCAGTCACGGGGGGATGCCCAGCCCGGCGTCCTCGGGATCGCAGATCTACGGGGACGGCTCCATCTCCCCCAGGACTGACCCGCTCGGAAGCCCCGACGTCTTCACGAGGAACAATCCCGGTTTTCATGGAGCACCCAACTCCAGTCCTATCCACATGACCAGGACGCCTCTGTCCCCGCCGTCAGTCATGCTCCACGGCTCTCCCATACAGTCATCCTGTGCAATGGCTGGAAGGACTAATATACCTCTTTCCCCCACCCTGACCACCAAGAGCCCGGTCATGAAAAAACCCCTGTGTAACTTTTCAGCCGGTATGGAAATACCACGAGCAATGTTCCACCATAAAC